CCCTCCACCCGCAGAGTTGAGTTCCAAGTGCTCCATGCCACAGAACTTGGATTGTCGTGCTTCCTACTGTTTGCCAACCTAATGCATGAGGGCATCTCATGGAGTTTTGATTTGTGTCTCTCCCCCATTGCTAATGAGATGGAGCATCTTTGCATATGTTTGTTAGCCGTTTGGATTTCCTCTTTTGTGAACACGGTGCTTGTTCAGGTATTTTGCCATTTTCCTACTGGATTGTCTAGTTTGTTTCTTGTAATGATTTGTAAGCATTCTTTCCATGTTCTCAATACTCGTCCTGTGTCAGGGGTCATTTGAATTGCCTCCTACTCACTCTGCCGTAGGGATACAGGTTCGGTGGAACACACAACACCCAATACTGGACACGTGAGCTCAATAGCTGTTTAAGTCACATATGTTTACAACCTGGAAGGCGAGGACGCACGGCCACACGGGGCCGCGCTCTGGAGCAGTGAACCAGCAGGGGCTGTGAGAAGCAGGCTTCATAGTAACAAGGGGGTGAGGTACTCCCTGATCCCCACAGGAGTGAGACTGGCTTGTTTGAATAATTCCACAGGCTGGCAGGGAACTAAACCCTCTAGTCAGGGATGAGCAGGAACTGTGCCTGTCCCCCTTGATAAGGAGCACTGTTTAGCTAGGGGACCTTATCCATGGAGCCAGAGTGTGAAGGAGAACTTTCAGTTGTGCAAAATCGAGGCCCCCCCGATTTTGCCAGGTGACGAGGCGGCAGTTAACACTGAACCTTAATTTTAGGACTTAACACCATGGTGTGTGTGTTGCAAACATATTCTCTCATTTTGTGGCTTACCTTTCCCTCTCTCAGTTCTTTTCATGAATAGAGATTCTTCATAATTGGTACCTTTTTATACCCTAATTAATTCTTCACTACTCTAAGGTCAAAGCCACTTGCAGTGCTGTCTTCTGAAAGCATTACTGTTTGGCCATCAGTTTGATTCCGAATCTAAATTGCATCAAAGCATATCGACTATGCTTCCAGCTTCCTGGCCCCTTAGGGAGATCAAGGGCCTGACTGCTTCCCTGAGCTCATTCCTGCCTCTTCGCAGTATGAAGCTTCTCCAGGACTTCCCACAATTGCCCTTTGCAATTGTGGCCAACACGTCTCCAGCCAGAACTGCCAGGGCCCGTTTGGGACATTGCTGGACAGAGTGTCCACCCAGCTCATTTCCAACTCAGCTGGCCATCCTCTGTGTGCTCCCTGTGCAGGCTCTCACTTAACTTTGCTGGGTAGGACTAATCTGGTGCTGCTGGTTTGTAGGGAGAGAGGAAAATGCCTCACTGCCTCCCGAAGCGCTTCCAGATCATCCCCAGGCCCCCATGGGGCCCCAAGAAGAAACATGGGAGATATGCAATTTGGAATTTAGGAATAGGCATTCGTATTGAAAGTATTCTTGGTAAAGATTCTTGATAAAGCAGCCAAGGACATCCCAGTAAGTTGAGAATGAGAACCTTCCACCTCCAACAGGTAAATGATGTTCTAGACACTGTGATTCAGCTATGAAGATAGCTGCAGATGGCAAATGCCCTCCCTTGTCTCTGTAATTGCTGTCATTTTAATAAGCAGAGCTCAGCTCATTCAAGGGACAGTTCAATTGCATATATAATTTACTCTCCGGTAAGCGTTAGGGTTTAAATTTTCAAATTATCATTGTTTGTGTTGGTTGTCATGTTGAAATGGCATAATAGTAATATAACAGTGAAGAGAGAAAGAGCTTGCTCTGTGCCAAGCACAGCTCTGAGCCCTTTTCGTGCGTGTACTGACTCATAATCCTCACAGCCTCCCCCCTCCCACCAATCTCCATCCAGGGTTCACCTTTATTCTATGCAGAACTTGTAGCCTGAGGTGCCCCCACAGCCCTGTGACCTGCCAACTGCCTTCCACAGGAGCAACAAGGTCAGGTAGCCCTGTAACCCTGCTCTCTGTCATACATCAGGGGAAGGGGTTTCCACCTGGCTCTCCAAGAAAAGGCCATGGAGTGACTTCGTCATCATTTTCTTGTATCTGAAATGTCTTTAAGAAGAAAGAATACTGTTGTCTTTGAGCATTAGTCAGCATCTAAAAAACTAAAGGGAATGCGCTTACAATAAAATCAAGAACATCAGAAGGAACTTGGAGAAAGCCTGAATGAGAAAATGATAGCACAGGCTAGTGAAGGGTTTGCAGAGTCTTTGCCAATAGAGATCAAGCCAAGCCAGGGTGCAATGGAGCTGGGAGTCCCTTTCCTCCTCCTGTCCTTCATCAGCCACCAAGTTGGTATCTCCCTTCCTCACAGCCTCTAGAATGCTGGCTGCAAGAGGGAAGGGGCTTGCCTTTGTTGTGTTTCTTCCCAGTGCCAAAGGCAGTGGCTGGCAGGCACACAGTAGCCCTCAGTGTTGGGTGGATTATGCTGTTGAATGACCTGTTTGGACTCTCCCTTCTCCTGTGCATTACATCTCCCCATTCCCTGTGCCTACTCAGACTCTGACCATCTCTAGCCTGGTTTCCTGTGCTCCCTCCCTCCTCAGACTAGAAACCTTAAGGGATTTCTTTAAAGCACTGGTACAGTGCCTTCCTCTAGGCCCTCAGTGGGTTCCATCTCCCCATCCCAGGCACACAGGACAGGGCACTCTCTCTTCTGCAACCTTCTTTGCTCTGGCCTCACTTCCCTTTGCAACCCCTGCCTCCATTGCTCTCCTCCCTCCCCTGTGATGTTTCTGGGCATGCTGTGCCCCCTGCCTAGAGCACCCTGGCTGCCATCTTGTCCCCCAGATCCCACTCAAGGATCCCTGCCTGTGGGAATTGTTCCCTGAAAGCCTCTCGGTCCTTGTGATTGGATTCAGCACACCATGCTCAGTGTTCTAGGGGTGTCTTGTTTTTACTCCTTTTACTTCTTTCAGCTAGTTAATGCATTTTTTTTTCTAAGGCCAAGCACCATTAGATGTCAGGCATATCAAGATGAAGGCAGACAGGACCCCTACTCTCCTGGGGCTCCTGTTGGATGGGGCAGGCAGAGGATACACATCAGCATGTGAATGAACAAGAAAACTTCAAGAACTTTCGTAAAGGGTTATTAAACACTTAATCACACTGAGCATCCATTGAGTGATTGCTCTGTGCCCTTTGACCAGTAGCTCCTGGCTTCCTTCTCTTTTGGTTGAGCAAAGCGCAGCCCTGAGGGGGTAGGGCCAGCTTTCAGTCCCAACCTCTAGGGTTCTCCCCACCTTGTCGTGACACAGGCCAGTGTGGTCTAGGCAGACTTGCCCTTCACCAGCGGTTTCAATATGGCGCACAGTAAGGGGCTTCAGAGGCCAGAGCCACAGCAGTCAGGGTGGCATTTATGCATGCATTCTCAGAAGCAGTGCCTTCAAAGCAGGGACCTAAAGGATGCACAAAAGTTAGCCAGACAAAAGGAGCAGTGCACGATGTCCCAGCCTCAGGGTGCAGCATGGGGAAGAGCAAACCTGGTAGACTGGAAAGAAGGAAGTTTAGAGGGTGGGTAATACGCAGCCTCAGAAGTGAATGGGGAGGTTCAGACTTTGTCATGGGAGCATTTGGAAGCTGACTGACAGTATTTGATTTGTTTTGTATTGTTTTGTTTTGTCTTTAAGTAAGCTCTGCACCCAACATGGGGCTCAAACTCACAGCCCTGAGATCAAGAGTCACATGCTGTACGGCTTGAGCCAGCCAGGTGCCCTGCCGCTAGATAGATTTAAGCAAGGGGGTGACCTGATCTGATGATACAAGGCTCCTTCTGGCTGCTGATGGAGAATAAGTTGGACAGGAACAAAAGTTGATGTGGGAAGACCAGTTTGGTCAGTTCATTCCCCCAGATAAGAGATGATGGTGATCTAGACTGGGGGTTGAGGCCATGGAAATAAAGAGAAGTGAGGAGATCTGAGAGAATTTGAGGGAGGAATGTCTCACAGCACTTGAACATCATTTGGATGTGAAGATGAGGGTGAGAAGGGGAGACGTTGAGAATGCCACCAGGGTGTCTGGGATGGGCAAGTGACCAATTGGCAATACCGGGCATCGGGACATTGAGCTCGAGGGAAGAGGAGATATGGGTGCAAAAGAATGAGGACATTAGGTATGCATGTGAATCTCAGCTTCTCAGGGGCACACAACAGAGAGTTGCCTGGATATACGAATTTAAGAGTGTTTGCAGGTCGTGTTTCAAAAATGTATGAAAGCATGAGTTTATCAAGGGAGACTAAGGCAGCAAGAGACGTGCCTGTCTTCTCTCTCTTTCTCCTCTGTGAGCTTCCACCTGCACTAGCCACTATGGGAACCACTAGCCACCTGTGGCTATTTAAATTCCAATTAAAATCATTAAAATTAAATACAATTAAAAATTCAGTCTTCAGTCCTACCAGCCACATTTCAGTGTTCATAGCCACGTAGCTGGTGGCTCTTGTAAGGGACAGCGCACATTATAGACCATTTCCATCTTCACAGACAGTTGTATTGGACAATGCTATATCTAGATTCTACATCTTATTCATTTTGTATGCACAGTGCCCAAGCACTCAGAAAAAAAGTGCAGTTCCTTCGATTGGAGGGATCTTAAGAAGTAAGCAGGCATTCGGAAATGGGGGTCAGAAAAGGAACCCCACACATTCTTTACAACCCTTCACACGAGTGACAGGGCTCACACGGGGGCCCCAGCCAGAACACAGGAGTGCTGGTAGGTGGGGCTCCTCCAGGAAGAGTGGGACTGTCTGCATATTTGTCTAATTTAACTCTTACTTTTCTCGTGGGCCCTTGGGCAATACCATAGCACATTTGCATTGGAACAAGTGACACGTTCTAGATTATAATCCAGGATTACAGAGTGATGGAACTGAGAGTCTTTGTGGAAAATCAGATCTTGGACTTTTCATTTCAGAGATCAGTTCTAAATGGTCCTGAATGTCCAGGTTTTGGTTTTGCTTTTGTTTTTCATCTTCGTTGAGTGTGTACCTTTGTTCTTTATTTTCTTTTTCAGTCAGATGTCATGGATCAGAATTTGTTAAATTTTCTTCCAGAACAAGAACATTCAGAAGTTTATAAAATGCTCTCTTCCCATATGCTTGTGACAGATTCCCCCTCCCCAGAATACTTAAAATGTAAGTTTACCTTTACTGGTTTTACAAGATACAAAGATAAGAATTTTACTTTGGAAAGGAGGTTAGCATGAATTAAGAGAGGGAGAACTAATTTTAAGAACAGCTTTCCTTGTGACTCAGAGTATTTCCAAAGTCCTTAGAGGTATATTTTATTTGAAATTTAAAGCTAAAACTAGAGTTTTATGTAGTAGTAGTATGTAGTAGAATCATATGACATTTAGCTTCTCTGTGGAAAATTTGAGAGCATGGTGCTTAAGAATAAGAATTCATTTTGCCTGTAATACAAGTTCTTTTTTTTTTTTAACATGAGAGTCTTTTGGTAATCAACACTGCAAAAAATCAGGGAACAGTCGACTTGCTTATTTTAGAGGGCACTGTAAAGCTAGATGTATATAATAACCAAGTATCCAACTGAAAACTGAATAATTAGGTCAAAACGCCAAATTCTCCTCTCCCGAGGCTGTCATCTGGTTATTTCTATACGTTTCCAGTTTTTATGGAATTTTAAAGTTTTTCTCAAAATTGGCAACCTGGATGGAAAGGGCGGCCTCGGTGCCTGCTGAACCATGTACGTTGATGGAGGTAACGCAAGTGCCTCGTGCTTGTTCAAGCCTTAGTCCATTTTCCATGAATAATTTGTCCTGTTGTATATCTGATTTTACTTCAAAGCATTGTGAAAAGATTAAATTAAAGAGAGCAGCTCTATATGAGCAGCTTTATTTTAATACACCATATGAAAACAACCAGAACTAATCAATGCCGACATAAGCAACCACAGACATCTGGGAGCAAATTAAGACTAATTGGGCTGAAGTACAGAATGCAAAAATATCCATATAGACTATGGGGGAAAACCCCCTATTCTGCAAAGGTTATAAAACCATGTCCAAAAGTCAGTCATAATGAGAGAAATGTCCTGGCCATGTGTAGACTAAAGCCCATGAGTTACACAAAGATAAACTTGTTTAGTCTAGAATCTGTGTCATATTCATGTTCCTTTTTCTTTTTTTCCTTTAACGGCCCAGCTGACAACGATTTAGAGTTTTATTGCCATCTTCTCAGAGGCAGCTTGAACCCAAAGGAATTTCCAACTTATGAATACATAAAATTTGTAGGAAATTTTCGCTCTTACAACAATGGTAAGCTTTAATTGTCATATAATTGCGACAGTGTCTTTTATCATGCAAACGTGCACACGGGGGCATAAGAATCTCTGAGGGAGGAGGAGTGAGAATACGTGCTTTTCATATTTGCATTTGGATTTTCATGTTCCCAAGATGCATTTTGTGCTCGTAAATGCTGTCTCCCGTTTGAGAAGAACGTACTCCCACACTTGTTTATGCCGGTGCACAAAGTCCCACTGAAATGCACTTTATTCATGTATTTATTTTCAGGCTGATGGAATAGTTCTGTACTGTGGGAAACAGCTTCTAGTTAATAAAGAACAGGCTCAGCCTACACACAGCCAAACAGGGCTTCACTGTGACATGAAGATCCATAACCTTGGTTTTTGCATCTTTAGTCTCCTTTTTCCAGAACCTGCTGTGAGCATGTTCTCATGGGTCTGGCACATAGGTCTTCTGCTCACTCTGACCCTAATGCACGGAAAGTGGCCGTTTTATGAGGAGCCAGAAAAATCCACATTTGGATGGATTATGAAGCAGATTAGCCAAGTGTAAAATCTTACTCTCTGAAATTATCTAGATAACTAATGGTCCAAGCTCTGGTTGTACCTCTAAACTAGACTGACACCCTCAGTTTCCCTTTTGACCCTGGGAAAATGGGAAGGCAGGCCTGGTGGTGGAAATTCCGAAGTACAGTCCCCAGCCCACAGCCCCACTGTGGAGCCCAGCACAAAAAGGCCTGCCTTTTGTTTGCTTCACTCCTCAAACCTCAACACAAAACAAACCACTTTGAATGATCTGACATTTCATAAAACCACAAAGATGGGAAAAACAGAAGGAAGAGTTGACAGGGATGGGAGAGAGAGAGGGAAGGAAAGGAGAAAAATACCAAAGGAAAAGAGACAGGAAGATGAGGCACAGAAATGATGGGTGGGCAGGTGGAGACACCAGGGAGTTGATGGCTCCCCTGCTTGGGCAGCCTCTGGACCCATGATGGAGTCCATTTACCCACCAAATTAGACCCAGAGTTTCCGTTAGAATCTGCCAACATAATGGCCCCAAGTCCTAATGCTGAAGCTAACCAGGATCTTTCCTTCCCCCTCAAACAATCCTCTGTTGTATGTTGTTTGCATAAATATACATACTTTGTCTAAAAGCCTGAACTAGATGCTAAACACTTTGGTCCTGCCAAAGTGATTTTCAAGCCTAACGTTCAGGGCCCGTGCCTGGATGATGGGCTCCTTGGCTAACTTGGGGCCCTTTGGGAACCTACCCAAACAGGGTTCCTAAGTGGTTGGAAGTGAAGACAGGTCAGCTTTCACAAGTGGGGCCCTAAATCTGGGTCAAACAGGATAAAGCCAAAGCCTGACCATGCCTAACCCGACTCATCTGAAAGGCTTTCCTAAACCTCAAGAGATGAATGTTTTATGAACCACACAAGTAAATGGTAGCTGGTTGGGCTGCCTAGCTCAAGAAATTGACCTATGAGACGCCTGGTAGAACACCCAGCATGATGCCAGCCCTGGTGCAGAGTTCACTGGGTGAGGCACCTTGTTAAAATGAAGGTTCTAGTTCAGGAGATCTGAGGGTGGGGCTGGGATTGTACAACTGGAAAGAACCTTGGGGCTCTGATGAAAGGGGTCATGGACTTTGAGAAACACTACCCTATTGTGATACTAAGTGCCATTCCATAGGAATCGTAATGGTACTCCTCACGTTAATGGTGCTCCTTCCTACAGCTTTATTCTTGAATTAATATAAGCATTGGTTTGCAATTTGCTTAAAATGTGTGCTGTGGCCATCATGCCAGCTGCTGGAATAGCAGAACATCCCATGTGTCTGCGTGCGAGGAAGGGGAAGGCACCCTGGCCCCCCGGAGTGCCAAGACTGTGGAAATTCTGGGATGCTGCTCCCGCGTGTCTCCATGACAACGGCGCACCGCTTAATTAAGGAACCGACCTGTGATTGGCTGCCGAGCAGCAGTCCCATCCTTTGTTCATTTACATTTCCACAACTCTCCCTTACTATGCTGCTGAATATCACTTTGAAGCTTCCTGTCGCTTATCACATTTTAAAGGGTTTCAAGGAAAGAGGCAGACTTCATTGCGAATACCTGGGGTTTTTTTTCCCAACCAGCAAAGCTTTATTTTCACTTCACGTTGAGACAGTGTTTGTTTGCCTGAAAGAATATGTGGAAATTATGTGTGATTTTTTTTCTTTTTTTTTTGAAACTGTTACTGCTATAAACACACAGTATCGAAAAGTGGAAAATTTAAAGCCAAGAGTGCCAGAGTGTCTTTCCAGAGCCTGTTGAACAAACCAGAGTTAGGGGGGCTTTCCTGAGGCAAGAGTCTCCAAATGTAATTGTGGAAAACCTGAAATATCATTCTCACTTGGATGAAAATAGACCACAACAAATGTCAGAGGGAAATGAATTTCTAAGATGGAACCCTATGAAATCACCAACATTCAATTATTTTTTACCTATAAAACAGAGTTTAACATACTGTAAGAAATACTTCAAATTTGATTTTGTAGGTTTACTTCTTAATAAACATTGGACAATGGGTTAATCAAAATAGCTCACCTTAGGAGTGCTTCCTAACTCCCAGGTCCTGGGCCCAGTCTTTGCATTGATAATCTCATTGAATCCTCTCGCCAACCTTATAAGTGGTACCATTGGCATCGTCGCATCTTAACAGAGAAGGAAACTGATGCACATAAGAATCAGAAGTGCACATTCTAACCCTGAACTCCTACCCTTAACCCCAGTGCTTTGCTATGTTGCAAAGCAAATCTATGTTGAAATTAAACATGTAGATGCAGCACACAGGCCTGTCCCTGCCACTGGGCATGCTGTTGGGACATGATGTCCGTCCCTATGCACATCAGATGTCCCGCACCCGTGAACCACGCTGTTTTAAGGATACCCAAGATTTGTTTGAAAACAAATGGGTTTATGCTCACAGATCTCTAAAAATGGGCACAAGACACTGTGGAGGCCACACGGGGAAGCACCAGGGTAGGTCAAGAGGCAGGGCGAGTAGGAGATGTGGGCAGGAGCCTCCTAGTGTGGTTTCTGTAGAAAAGATTGAGTGAGGCAGCATAAACAGACTTCAGTTTGGTGGGTTTGAATAATTTTAGTAGGCTCTTGGGTAGAGGGGTTTGTCTCTAGTTCTCAGGGACCTGAGTGATTAGGGCAAGTGGATAGTAGCCCAGAGTGTCAGAGCCCCATAAAGGATATGGTTGGGCTGTGAGCTCTAGATTGATTGGTTTGCCTATGAAAGGTGCACTGGAAGGTGAGTCGTACCCTATTTCTAGGAATTGACCAACCCTGAAAGCAGCAGTTTCTCCAAGGTCAGCAAGGCCCCAAATGTCAAAGCACCAAATACAGAGAGTACAAAATGTGGTTTGTACACAAGCCACCCCATGCAACTTCCCTGAGTCCCCAGGCATGGCACACCTTTCAAAGCAATATGTGTAGAAGAAAAATGACTATGAACATTGCTTTTATTTTAATAAAATCCCTGTGCGCACTTCAAAGAACTATGTAGGAAACCCTACCCTGGTCCGTTATCAGGAAAAGTCCTATCATTTCTGTAGGGCTGCTGAGTTTATGGACCATTGCCTGGCACATTCTCTTTTGATACCTGTCAGGAAAATACAAGGCTCTCGTTTTTATCAATAATGGAGTGGAAAGGATGGTGACATTTACTGATCTGTGAGCTCTTTGCACCCCTTCCTGGGCCTATGCAATCCATGCCTGGTATATAAGTAAGGCTCAACAAAAGTACGTTGGCCTAGACTGAGGCTCAGAGATCTTAGCCCTGGATGTACAGGTGGTAGGGGACAGAGGTCCAGCTCAGACCTGACTTTTGACTCGCAGGGAAATGAGGCTTTTCCAAAACTGAGAGCTAATAATAGAGCTCTCCTTCACTGACCCCAAAGCCCACCCCAGAGATGGAGGGGTGGCTTCCAGGAGGGTTCCCACTACTTCTTTGGCCTTTAATCTGATGCAAAGATTAAATCCACTGTGGTATGTGCTGGGTAGACTGGCACATGTATAACTTATGGTGATTTGTGAATTGTGTGCACTGGAAGGTCACTGACCAGTGCATGGTCAGTGTATGGTCATCTTTGGCCTCCATTCTCTCCCCATTCTGTGTCCCCCACCCCCATCAAGTTCTTTCCCCACCTGGACTCCCTGGGTGCTCCCTGATGTCCTTATCCAGGCCCCTCACCCAGGTACCCCTGCCAGTAGTGTTTCTGACGCACTCTCTTCCCTGCCTCTTGTTCATCTGATCAACCAATTTGCCTTGAGCCTGATAGAGGTGCAGGCTGTGACTCAAAACTCACATCTGTAGGTACCCTTGGGCCTTAAACCAAAGGGCCCAAAGAGGAACATGTAGGCTTCAGGGCATGGAAGACAGGTGACATTGATCCAGAGAGGGCTTTTGGTGACCTTTAAATCCCATAGATGAAGACCCTCATCTGCTTGCCTGCTAACTCAGATAACTTTATCTGGCTCTGTCACCAGTATAAGTAGGTCAAGTTAGGAATTTGGGGTGTGGGGAGGCACAAAAGCCCCTTTGCCCTTGTTAATGAGATTAAACCCTCCAGTGGGACATTTCCGGATTCAGCAGCTGATTGTGCCATCTTACCCCTTTACCTCTGTACCCCCCTCCATGCACCATGGCTGCACAGACACAGCAACCATCGCCTAAATACTTCCACCAAATGGAATTTTCCTCTGCTTCAGTATTTGCACATCTCGGTCACTCCTTCGGACTTCATCATTTGGTACAGATGTTCTGGGGTTGGGGTGGGGAGGAGGTGAAGATGGGACTTCACATCTTTAACCTAGATTTTTAATAAACGTGAAGAAGTATGTGTCAGGAAATGGAACAAGAAAGTAGCTTTCCTAGAACTGTTTCACTTCAGGACAGTTTCTAACCAAGTCTGTGAAGAGCTTCCTGAGGGAATCTGAGCTGGAATACGGAACCACATGTCTCCTC